TCCCTGTGTCGTCCTTCGCCCTACCCAACGAACTAAAATACTTATAGAATAACTACTTATTTTTTATTTTTTTCACCTATTAATTATTATTATCATTATAATTCATGTGATTTGATATTAACAATGTTGCTTCTTGGAATATTTAGTTATAAAGTCTTGACCAGGTACTAATTTATTAATTTTCAATATTTTGTAAAAACTATAGTATAGGTTGTGCACTAGTAATCTTGTTGTGTGGTAAATCTGTAGGGACACTGAAGAGAAAGATATTCTTATAATTTATTGTAGATACTCACTTGATCCTTATGTGTAACATTTCTGAGAAGTGTTTTTATAAAATCATACGAATTAAGTATTTTCTTGTCTTTTGATTCTTTTTTTTCTTACATTCATTATCATCATCAAATCACATTATAATTCATGTGATTTGATATTAAAAATGTTGCTTCTTGGAATATTTGTGATATTTAGTTATAAAGTCTCGACCAAGCACTAATTTATTAATTTTGAATTTTGTTTAATAAATCTGTAATTTAACTGAACCTGTGGTTGTTTGATATTTTCAAAATAAGAATGTGCAATACAACAATTAACATCAACAATTTTCTGATCTGAAGCTTTCTTTGTAGTCATCTTCATCACCATAATTTTACAAAATTAGAAGTTCAAGTGTACCAGAATATGTTAAACACTATTAAAGGGAAATTATCATGCACTAAAATTTAACCCATTCATTGTGGCTGAGATATATGTTTCCCATTGACAACACTGTTTATGCCTTCCTCTGCTGGGTCCAAGTTCATAATCTTGACATCATCACTAGATGATGAGCTAACAGCCTCTTGTCTCATTGCCTGTTCATCATCATGCATTTTAACACCACTTGATTCACTTTCACTATCTTCTAAGTTACCCGAGTCAAGCGCATCAAACACATTTATACAGTCGGCACACAGATGTCATACATTCTGCTTAGGTGTCTTATTGGACTGAAGTGCTGAGTGGAAAACATTGAAGGAAACCATATATCAACATTAGGTGGGATGCCAGTAAGTACTTTCCGACTCAGATGTCATACATTCTGCTTAGGTGTCTTATTGGACTGAAGTGCTGAGTGGAAAACAATGAAGGAAACCATATATCAACATTAGGTGGGATGCCAGTAAGTACTTTCCGACTCATTTTACTACAATACGTCACACACGGCAATTATGAAAGACAATGGGAAACATTTGTCCCAGTCACAGTGTGAAGGGGTGGGAGAACTGCGAAATAAATATCCCAGCCACAGTGAAAGGGTTAAGTTCACAAGTTATTGATCACACAACTTCATTCTCGCTCACACCAAACTATTTATAAACATAACAGGAACTAGTTAACTCTTTCAGTAGAACTGGATCAAAGTGTGTCTGTGTGTGTCACAACCTTTTATAATTTAATTTAACTTAATTATCATTGTAAGTCACTAAACTAGGCATCAATATTATTTAAGTTTTAATTTCTTCATTTCAATATATTTTAAAAAGTCTCTATCTTCACTTCCCTGTGTCACGTGACCTGTTCAAGTTCTGAATTCTCCCTTATAGATGTTATATCTTCCCAAATACAGCTTTCAAAGTGTGCAAACAATTAGAAACACAAACTGCAAACAATTAAAAGCATAAATCTAAAATTTGAACATCTAACCATCTTAATTTACTGAGATATCAATGAATGTGCCAAACCCACCAGAAAATACCCTCACCTTTTTGTCTTCATTTTATATAACTTTTGGTAATAGTCCTTACAAGGCTGGTGAACATATTTATAACCAATAGAAAGAGCATTTTCTCCGTTATAGAAATCTCGGAGAGCTGTGGTTTAGATGTCCTGCACAAACCATTAGTTAGCAGAAGTATTTGATTTTGTTATTAATTCTTTGCTCTGAGTGGTTACAGAATTTTTAAGCTGTTTATAGCTTAGTTTGAAAGCTAGTTAAATTATAGTAGTTTTGAAACATACAATATTAGTGACTGATATATTATTTGTGTTCTAAAATACATATTTGAAAGCCATGTGAAGTTTTATTTGAACAACTAATTTAGTGACAAAACAATATAAGACTATGGGCAATTACAAAAAATCACAGGTTATACAATTTGATTATGGTGTTTATGAAAATGGGCTAATGATATCTCACTATTATTTAATGTTTTTGAGAAAAAGCAGGTACAAAGTATAGGAAATAAATC